ACAATGATCCGGACGATCAATTCAGTTGTTACTTGCTCATTTATAGTTTTAGCATTTGTAATCGTTATAAACGCAAACGAAGAGTTTGATGTATTTATAGAAAAAGCGACTATTACTAACGAAAGATCCTCCGGCAGTCTGGGAGATAACTTCGACGACTTTGGAATATTGGAAACTGATATAGATACAATATCAAGAGAGAAAAGACGCATAAGACTAGCAAGGAGGAGTAAATTTCGATCGGGAAGTCATCATGATAACTCAGGCTCGGAGAACAATGCCTTGCGTGAAGACGATGATAATTATCACGTGCGATATTCTACTAAGTTCGGTTAGTACCTTGAAACATATATATATATATATATATATATATATATAATTTTATAACCAGGCAAACACCAATAAAAAAATATTATAAATCCATACGTTTTGGCTATAGTACTGTCCTATATTCAGTTGAACAAAACTAAATTTTTTAAATAAAATCCATATTTTCCAAGTTCCATATAATAGATATTATTGATTTCGCCTAAAAGTCATTGTTTACAATTTTAATGTAATGTGCTGTGAAATTTGCAAATATCGGACTATTTCATAATTTTTAACGAACAAGCAAGGGAGTTCAGATACATAACTACAAAATTAAAGAGTACTAACAATAAACTACTATGCAAAACTTTGTAATAGTTTGCCGTAAAGAATATGACTAGTGTAATTTATTGTCCAATTCAGTTAAAATGCAATAAATTTTAATATTTTGGCAGCCTTCCAAAACGTGGATGAATTTGGGCTGAAAGTTAAGTACAACAAATCTGAGAATGTTTACTACGGAGACAGCGCAACATGTAAGTCAAATACAAATATTACGCCAGCATCGATTTAATATTTTAAATGATTACATTATATGTTATATAAAAAATGTTCATTGATTTTATCAATAGACAAAGTCGTTCTAATGCTGATTTTTATTAAGATTTAGTATTTGAACATATTATAATTCTAATAATTTTGTCTATAAAAATTAAAAATTTTCATTATCAATAAATGCTCAGATTTATACATATGCATATTTGCGATATATTCATGCATGTTAATATAAGAAATCGTGCCAATAAAAATAAAGTAACATTGTACAATTTATGGTCAATGTAATAAAAAGTAAAAGTAATGTGTGCATCAACTACTACCGGAATAATAATTCAAAAAATGTGAAAAAAGTAATATATATTTAGAAATAAAAGCTTGTCCAATATATGATCTGTTTCAGTCAAAAAAAAAGTTAAGTTATGATATTTGTATGCTTTCAATTATTTGCGGTAGACGTTACATTGATTTATACTTATAAATTTAATATGTGTGTTAATTTATTTCATTTTTCAAGCAACGGAATCTCCTTTATCTGTGATACCTCTCGAAAGAGGCTCACAAATATCTGAACCGGCCGCTCTTACTTATATGGCATCAAATGATGTAGAAAAGCCTATGAAAATAATTCAAATGGACGATAATTATCCAAAAGTTCCCGACAGCGAAAAAGCAACTACCGAGGAATTCAAAACGATAAATAGGGGTAAGCAAAAATAAGATTAATAATATATTCTAATGCTCATATTATTATTTATCTGTCACATAAATCGTGTAAAACATAGATGATATGCAAACTAATAGCATAACGCACTAACCTATTAAATCAGTGCTAAACGTAGCTATATTTTGAATATTTTGACTACAGTAGATCTACAGTAGATCCTGTTTTTGGGACGGCCTAAAAGAAATCGTACTAAAAATAGTCAAAAATTTTATAAATTCTTCCATATAATAAACAACTTTGTACGATATATTAAATAAAAAACATGCTGTGGATATATATCAATATCAATATATCATAATAATATATCAATAGTTTATGAAATAACATTCTTTTGGATGAAATAATTATATTGGACCTATAAAATATTGTAACAAATGTCATTTTAAACATTTGAATCGTAGATAAAATCCTGCATACAAACCATATGTCGTTTGCGCAAAATCGCGCAAAATCTGTATAAAAACAGGAATCACTGTACTTAAAACATAAGGAAAAAGATATCATGAAAAGAGATCATAAAATTGTTTATAATGCATTGTTTGCTTGGATCAAAATGAAACTAATAATGTAGGTTAAACGACAGTGCAGATCGTTTTGCTTTAATTTAGATAACCAAATGATTGCTATTATTTTAGTATAAAATAAAATAAAAAACAAAATACTAGTCCTCTTTCTTTCATACATGATAATTAGTAGTATCAGAGACAAATAGTATTTAATAGAATAGTATATAGAGATCAACATACAATCACTTATAATGTTAATATCAACCTTTATGCTGAAAATAACAACATTGAAAATATCAAATATTAATGAAAGTTGTGTTTAAATTATTTACAGTACAACGGTCATTAATGGGTAAGTTTTAGCTTCTTCTTTTGACATCCTCGTTTTGATATAATTTCCAAGCTCTAATCTTTATGCTTGCATAATCTTTAAATGCATAACTTGAAATTATACAATATTATTCCGATCTCATATAAAATCATTTTTAATCATTATCCATGATCAATTTAACTGAATCAACGACTAAATACTAATTATAATATCGCTTTGAGCAATCTAATATCGCTTCTGATCCTTCATAAACATTCCTAATGCTCGACAAAGTATGTTTTATAGAAAAAACAACCAACACTGTCAATCAAATAAATAGCAAAGCTAGCTTTATCATCGAGTAACATTATTATTTGTATCACTACAAATAATTAAAAAAAAAATAGATGTGTCCAAAACGAAAATATGTCGTGCAAAAAAGGGGTACAAAAGTATACTGCAAAATCAATACATAGCTTGCGTCGCAAAATCAAAATTTTGAACATTTAAATTTAAAGAAAACATGATACCATAAAAACATGACATATCCAAAAGTAAGACAACTATCACTAAAGTTCAATCAAAATTTGTAATACAATTAAAAATTATGATTTTAAATCTCATAGATCGAAAAGAAACTCAATCATTAACCGCTTAGTTCATCATCATCCACATATTTCATTAAATAATTATCGGTATTTTATCTAACCCAACTGCATGTGTCAGATGAGAAGATACAGTTTCCGTACGCCTCAAAAGTCATCTTTGGACCTGAATTTCGTATGGCGAATGAAGTCAGAAATGGCTGGACACAACCACAAGTAACACGTTTTCTGCAGGACCCCATTATCCCGCCAGTTCTGGGGCATTCACATACAAACGGTAAAATCGAAGGCTTGTATATATACATATACATATATATATATATATATATATATATATATATATATATATATATATATATATATGATTTAGTTGTTGATTTTGATGTTGAGATATACGAGTATGAGTAAGTTCTTGTGGGGCGATACATCATCAGTGGATATTAACGTTGGTAGGTTACATCTAGAGAGTGTAGATTTCTAGTAACACTAGAAATTAACACTAACATTTATACGACTAACTTGTCAACACCATGTATTTTTTATAATTTTTTGTATGATGTAGAAAGACAAATGATAATTTTATTTGAAAAAAAAAAATGTGAATAACGTTAGGTAATTTCTGCCACGACTTCTGTACTACAGTTCCGAGGCTTAACCTCGGATAGATAAGCCTCGGAACTTATTAAAACTTATTAACTTATTAAAAATTTTCAAAAATTTAAAAAATGTTTTTTAGAAATAATTTAGCAAACAAATGAATGAATAAAACTCATTCATTTGTCGCTAAGTTATAGCTAAAACATTTTTTTTTAATTTTCAAAATTTTTTCCATGCTCTTTCCATACGAAGTTTGATTGAATTGCGCTCTATCTAAACGTTAATATTAAGAGCTAGAACTTTCAGAGAATTATTTTTTATCAATTTGGAACCATTTGAGCCCCTGGGAGCAAGGAAATTCGAGAATGACTATTTCAAGGACCACCCTAATATATATATATATATATATATATATATATAATTCCAAGCCATTTTCTTTCGATGTTGACATTAATTTAAATTTTTGATATTAAAGATACCAATTTGGTATCATGATATTAACACGAAATAAATATTATCATTTCTATTAATACATATTAAGTTTTGCATGTCTAATTACAAATTAACACTAACAGAAAAACACTGATGTTAAGAAAATGGCACGCAATAATTTTTAATTCCTATCGAAAGTATTTTGAAAAACAAGACAGCGACGTCAGCTATATATGAACTAAACACATCAAACAATACGCACATACTAAAAATGTAAATAAAAAATATGTTTCCAATTGAAACTGTCTTATTTGATTACAGTGACTTTCACACTATATATAAATAAATTGCTTTACACTCGGTTCAATAAACTATTATATATAACCATGTGTTATTGCAAATAATATAATAAATATTATTTCATGTTATATTGACAGGTGAAGGAGAATTTCGATCATCATTTGCGCAACATTATGATAACTGTAAGTATAAATGCGATGAAAACCAAATTGTTAAGTTGCAATGAAATCTACGTAAAAAAAATTCCAAAGACTATATACATCAGCATACCAGCGATCGTTAAAAGTCTCTAATATACTATACGTTTCGACACTTATTTATATCATCATAATCAAACTTTACATTAGATATTTTACATATTTTTGTATAATGTAGAGAGAAATGTAGTGTTTAACTCTATGATATATATATATATATATATATATATATATATATAATATATATACATATACATATATATATATATATATATATATATTAATTAAATTAAATTAGAAAGATAAATAAACAATTAAATTAGAAAGATATATATTATTGCACTTCCTAGCACCTATTTGGTAATATAAATAAGCTGTGGAAAGATCTCAACATAGAGTCATATACAATTATATGATTTAATTTTAGTTGAAGGGTCCCGACCGAAAACGAAAGGTGCTAAAGGCAGTCGTGAGTTAAATGAGTGCCGAAGTATGGATTTTCAAGATGGCGAAAACGCTAAAGATATGACTGGTATTTGTTTGATGTGTCTTCGTAATGAAGATGAATATGGACATATATTATTCTCAGTTAAAGGGTTCGTTTCTATATATTATATATGACATATTTGTGAAATTTATACTATTTTACAACAAATATCCATCAAACGAAAACATAGAGCAAAAAAAAGTTTTTGGTCTATTTTCTCCAACAATTCAATTTCATATTATGCAAATACTAGTTTTTATTATATTCAGATGCCCAGCTGTTGACTGTGAAGAGTTTGAATTACCAAATCCCTACGATCCCTACCCTTTTTGCTGTCCAGTATGTAGTAAGTTTTCAATTCATTTTATCTTTGGTACATAAAATAAAGTTGTTTAATCAGAAAACTGCATTTCAACAGAAGGGGCACGGCGTAAATATAGAGAAGAAGATCTTATGTATGGTACATCTATGACAGACGAAAATAAAGCAAAAAAAGGTTAGTATCAATAAAAGAAAACGATATTAAAATATTGCTAAGAAAATAAGAAATTTGAAATTGTCATTTAATGGTTATTCTTCTTTTCGTTTGACAAATTACACAGGCGGTGATGGAACACCTGACGATGAAAGCAGTGATGAACCAAAAGGTGACGAGGAAACTGATGAAGGAGATAAGGGCGACGAAGACGAAGCTAAGGAAGGCGGAGAAGAAGCTACGGACGACCCAGACAAAAGAGAAGAACGTAGTCGGAGATTCCTTACGCCACCGGAAGAAATGACCAAAATAACACATGATGTAAACAACGTGACCGTAAACGACGATATAGCAACTTCCGAAAACAGTACGACTACGACCATGAAAACTGAAGTCTTGAACAAAGATCCTACAGACAAACCCACGGCTGTAAAGAGAAGACTTTTTCAAGGAAAAAATATGAGAAGCGATGACGATGCTGGTAGCAATGCCCAGGTATATAGAAGACGCCTCAAATAAAGAACAAAAAAAATTTAAAAAGCATTAGAAAAAAATTGTAGATAATATAATTATTAACTAGTAATGATTTATAAAATATATATTGATTTATAGATTTTTATAACTTTATAAGATTGACCATATGGATAAGTTTCAATAACTGTAGCCCAATTGTCAAGTAGAATAACAATTAGGATATATGAACAGGATGCACACGCATCCTAACTTTCAATATTAATGAAATTAGTATATTATAATATTATTATTATTTGAGCTATACTAGTGTAGATAGATAACGAAAAGATTTATGTTATAAGTTTAACTTAAAATTTTATATAAAATCTGAAGAATGATTATCCCACTTTTTTGTGACAAGTACTAATACTAAATTTAATATAAATATTATTTTAAATAATTATAAAAGATATGTAAGAAACATGAATAAAAATTAATATTTCAAGAAAAGTGTTTTAAATATTTCAACAACACGTTGATAAAAAAGTTAAAAACTCATTAGTGTATACAATAAATCTTCAAATGTAAATTAAAACGCCTAATTCAGCTAGAACGACGAACTTTTTGACATTATAAATAAATAACATACTAGTTTTAAAATATAAATACCACGACAAACTGTAGGTGACTTACCTCAACAGGAGCATAATGTCCATTGTCATTAAGTTCTTGGATTTCGACCCAAAGTTCAATTTTTCGTGTTAGTTCTGACCAGCGATCAACGAGAGAACGGGCCTGAGCTAGCTGCTGTTGTTCGACTTCCCAACCACCAATGGAACGAGAAAATCCCGCCGATCTGTGGCCCCAAACTTCTATCGATAGTGCACCTTCTGCAATAGTAATATATTAAATTTTCGTGCTTTATAATGCATTAGGGCAATAGTCCATTATATTAAAACTTTAACAACTCTACATTACATATGACAGAAATCCCCTACATTACATTATTTTATACAAACTAATAATTTTAGACAAAAATCCAATTCTCAAAACAATATGATGTAGTCATAAGACTATGTTAATAATATTAAGAAGAAATTCTAAATTCTGTGACCATTTAGTACTTCATCCAGTTAGTAAACTGAACATAATCGGTTTCTTAATGATTATTAAATTAACCTGCAAAAGATATTTAAAAATGTTAAAATAGCCAATTTTATCACTTATTTCACCTAGTTATCAATAAAGAAACAGAAAAATTAACAGAAGAAAGAAAGTAAAAATACTACATACGATATACGCCAAAAAAGACAAAATTTTAGGTAAAGTAATTTTTTTTATCGTTATTTTTTAATATAAGCATTTATAAAAACCTCAAAGTGAAATTATTAATATTCTGTTTTTGAAGATAATATTTTGAGTAGAAGTTATAAGGTCTAAAAATATTGTATCATTAATATTGTTTATTTCCTCCGTTATTAATTGTATTTCAGATTTAATTTTGCGTTAAGATTTATTGAAACCAAATTTTACTTTGTGAGTTGATTGTTGCAAGGCAAGTAGCACACAGGAAACAAAAATCAACGATTTGAATTAACAAAAACAAAGAAATAAAAATATGATATAACCATACAATTGCAATAAATGAGAAGTTTATATAGAATATATTATAATTATATAGGAATAAAATAGTATATGACATAAATAAATTATTACCCAGAAGATTATATAAATGATTATATGTTATGATTATATAAATCTATACTATATAAAGATGCATGTTATGTTTATATAAATCTATTAGCAATTATTGTAGAAATTTACATAATTTTATTAATTTCTAGTCTAGAAAATTACAACTAAAATACCTGGCCAAAAACTTATTGTTTTAAGCCTTTTAAATGAAGTGAAAAAATTTCAAGATTTTCAGTATAAACCAATATTTGTATGTTATAATACCATTTTGAATAACAATATAGGACAAAAGTAAATTATATAGAAAATCATTATTAATAATACGCAAAAAATTACCTGCAATTGGTAGCTTTTTTACCCCAAAGTCCGCCTTATTGATAAGTGTTAGAACAAAGTAGTTGACACATTGAAAGTAGCAGTTTTTTTTTAGATTTGAATTTCGCGCTGTTCAATTTCTTTTTTATATATTAAAAACGTACATTTAGAGAAATTTAGCAAAGAACAACTGATAAAAGTAAAATAACAATGCTTGTAAAGCATTTTTTATGCTTTTACCATTTTTCTTAGGTTTTGTATTTCATCATTATATGGAACATATCAATGGATTTTCTTGTGTGTTTTGTGCTTTCACTATACAATCATATACTATTACTCGATGTTTATAACAGAAATAAAACTTAACACTTAAAGTAAAACTTCAAATGTAAATCTGCAACTTGTAAATATTGAGTACGTTCACACTAGGGATAATTCTTCAAAGAGAGTTATATATATATATATATATATATATATATATATATGTATATATTATATATATTGATATATATATATATATATATATATATACATACATACATATAAAATGTGTGAAAGTATTTTATATATTAAGGCCGAAAATGTAATAGAATTTTTTGTAGTACCTAGGTATGCTACTACAAAGCTATTTATTATTAGAAGCGAAAATAATATATCATTATTATTGTTGCTTACTTATGAATAAACAAATAACCTACTGTAAAACAATATACTTTACTTACAAATGTTATTACTTACCAGCACAATGCTCTAGGAACTCTTCAGTGATTGTAACGGTATAGTCTTGTGTATGATCAAATTTAAAAGTAACATGTTGGCCATGATTATTGCTGGATCCATTTTCCACTTTTGGTGGAACAACTGTAGGATCCGGGTAACCCCAAAATGAATACTGACAAAATACAAAATTTGACAAAGATAAGGGTAAACCAGTTGCTTGTTTAATACTGATGCGGCATGTGACCTGCAAATAGATCAAAAACAATTATGAACACATAGTAAATTTGATTACACTATAACGATAAGGAAACAATTTACAAAAAATTACGAAATACAAAATACAAAAAAATCTAATTGAATAAAACAAAACCCAAAATAAAATTTTCTAGTTTGAAATTTGCAATGCAATATAAAAGTATAATAAAACGTTTTTCTTAATATTATTGACTAAACTAATTGACTAACTCCATATATATATATATATATAGGTATATACTATCAAGATATATATATATAATTATATATATATATATATATATACTAGCAAACCCGACGAACTCCGTTTCGCCACCAGATGGTTTCGTGAGAAAGATGAAGAAATTTTTTGTTTATTTTATATTTGAAAAGGAAAAATTTGATCAGGAAGGAAAACTTGACTTATTTTTATATATATATAGAAAATAATCTATTTGCAATTATTTAAAACAATTATTGTTTATTTTTATTACTCAAATTTTTAATTACGGTGCATGAAGTTCCAGCAATTTGCATTAGGGCACGATGTCATGCACCACTAATTTTCTTAGATATAAACCTTGCGGAGCCCGAGACCTTTCCAACGAATGCAAAATTGTCGAAATCGGTTCGTGCGTTCTGGAGTTATTTCGTCAGGAAGGAAAACCCGACTTATTTTTATATATATAGAAGATAATCTATTTGCAATTATTTAAAACAATTATTGTTTATTTTTATTACTCGAATTTTTAATTACGGTGCGTGAAGTTCCAGCAATTTGCATTAGAGCACGATGCCATGCATCACTAATTTTCTTAGCTATAAACCTTGCGGAGCCCCAGACCTTTCCAACGAAAGCAAAATTGTCGAAATCGGTTTGTGCGTTCTGGAGTTATTTCGTCAGGAAAGAAAACCCAACTTATTTTTATATATATAGAAGATATATATATATATATATATATATATATATATATATATATATAACATAATTTTGTAAATAATTTTTTTTATAAATATAGAGCTTCAATTGAGTAGATATTGAACGTTATTTAAATTAAAAAAAAACTAAAATTCATGTTAAATACTTTCCTAACATTCTTTAAATTTTATACCTGAGATGAGGTAGGATCTGAGCAGTCATAGTCATCATAATGACTGTCATTAGAGCTATCTGAGGCAGCCTCACATATTCTATCTTGTGGAAATGTACCAGCAATTCGGGATAATTCAACCTGAACAATAATTAATGAAAAGGTATTAACAAAACATAAAACTGTATTTATGTTAACAATTATAAAATGCTTACTTGTAGTCTACCGGCTACTTCGCCTTGTTGACTAATAATAGGTGTGGAATAATTTAAGCGAACATTGTGAAATAAAACTTCAAGAAAAATATTAGCAACTCCAATTAAATTATGATTTTCTTGTGACTCATAAAATGGATCCAGTCTATTTATTGGCGTGATATCCTACAAATCATAATAATTATTTTGAGCAAATTTTATAATGTTTAATCAAAAGTTTGCATATCAGCATAAAGATATAAACATTATATTATAAAGATATGACTTATTTGTATATAAATATAGTAATGAACATACTATAGAATTGGCATTCTTGTCCTTGCTTTCTTCATATATTTCTCTCATGTCAATAAGTTTATTTTCTAGCTTCTCCATGCTCCACACCTGACTACCCGTTGATCGTCGGACCAAAATAGCAGGTTCACTAACAAATGCTCCTCTCTATCAATTAAAGTAAAAAGTAATTACTGAACCAATATTTTTTGTAAATATTGTTCATTGGCTATGAATATCTGTAAAAATTAATATAAATATCACAAACATTACTTACCCGTCGGTTGGGGCTTAAATTTGCAGGTGGTATTTGAAGAGTTACACTGAACTTGGTTTTTCTTTCCATTTCCTCAGCAAGAAAATTTGCTTCTTGCACTAATGAATTTGCTTTAAGAATATCGTCTTTTAATTGTCCTAAACTTCTTCTGAACATCTCATCGCGCTCCTTCGCCCATTTCTCAACTCTCATTTGGCTTGTTGGCGTACCTGGTGTCATTTTTCCTTGCCTGTAAATATATATATATATATAAATATATATATTGAACTGTATAAAATCATAATAAAAACTTCAGATCTGCTACAATATCATTATTAGAAATAAAATTAGTAATAATTAATAAAATAAACATAATTTATAGTCAAGACTTGAAATAAATTCTTAACCCTTCAACTTGAAATACCTAAAAGGATCATATGTATAAGGTCCATATGGTGTTGTTGGTGATAACATGTTCTTCAACTGTTGAAAATGTTTCTCATATTCTTGTCTCTGTTTTTCAAGTGCAACTTGTTTGTCGTCTTCATGTTGTTTTTCTAATCTAGATATTGCAGCTTGAATAGGATCGTTTGATAATTCATTTAGCATTAATTCTTCTCTTGCAAAATTATAATCTATAAGTTGTGCTGGTGTTTGTACTTCTGATGCTATAAAAAACAAAAACCATTTATCCAACAGCACACACACATATAATACTAAATCATAAAATATTGAAAAATATATAAAATATTTCTTCATATAGCAATCAATCAATTAATTTTTAAAAAATACCTATTATTTTGCTATATTATGTGAGAAATAAAGTATATTATTTTTTTTGAACACACTAAATATGTAAGTTCTATAATACATACAAACAGCTTTTGGGCAGTTCACTCTGAAAAAATGATGATTTCCCCATAATATTCTATCACCATTATGCAAGGCAGTTCTCTCAACAGCTGGAGATCCATTCACAAATGATCTAGCATTTGCCAATGGTTCTAGAAACAAACATCCATCTTCAATAACTACAATGCAATGCTGTGGTTGAATGCCAAGGCCAGAAAGTTGAATGTCAGGCTGGGACGGTGAACCTTGGCTACCAACTAAGGTTCTTTCCTGTCAAATAAGACATTGATGCCATAATTAATACCTGTATAAAAATAGCAAATATAGCAATAATGTTAGTATACATTACCTTCAAATAATATACTAAAAGCTCATTTAGAGATGGATCAGCATTTAAATTTACCAGATAGTATTTATTTTTCTCAACTTTAATACCACTTGCTTGGACACTAATACCCATTTTTTCCAATGCTTGCTGTCTTTCATTTTGTATTCGTTCTAATAAAAAATATTTTAAATTAATAGGTAACTCACATTTTAAATAAAATAGATCATTATACTGTATTAATTAATTCCCAAGTTCATATTGCCAATAGGTTTTGAATATTTAAATTTAATAGTTTTTATTTGCTATTACAAATTGTAATAAATTATGATATTTTTTTCTTTTAACTTTAATTATTTAACTTAATTATAAAAAAATAATGTTCAATAAAAATTAATTATAATTATTTATTCTGTATAATTTACGATTACTATTTTTACCATAACTAAATAAAATGAGATAAATATAATGAGAATAAATGTAATCTAATAAATTCAAATAAAATCTAATAAATTAAATCACCTTCAAACATGGCTTCATAAATTCTAAAATAAAGAAATTAAAACCAACTTACATAAGAAATTAAATAAATTTAAATTCTAATAATGATCAATTCCTACCTGTTTTGACTAGTTTCTCTTCCCACGTTTGTGACATTTCCTTCATAAGATTTTCACTTTCTGCTAATTTCTCATGTATATCTACTCGTTGAGTATCTCCAACTGGTGAACCCTTTAGCAAGAGAGTAATAAATGTTTTAGTAAATAATAATTTTCTCATTTTCAAATTAAAAACACTGAATGGAAATATATATATTGCAATATAAAAAAAAATAGTGGGTTATATCATATCATGTACTTTAAAATTTAGGTGAAATTTAAGATTTCAACAAAACTTTGTTGAACAGGTTCATTTACAAGTTACAAGTAAATAGTGAACAAAAGTTCAAATGTTGAGTGATTATACATAAAAATACTATCAAAGTAATATGTATTCACATTTCTAACAGCAGTCAGTCAATTCAAAGAAATTACGAAAAGAAAATTTAATGTTACATCCTTACTGTTGCATGTTTCAACATTTCTTTCAGTGTTTCTACTTCTTGTCGCAGTTCCCTTATAATTCTTGCATTAGGATCTTCATTTACAACAGCATGATTAACTATTCTCTTCGCTCTGTCAGCATATCTTAACGTTGACAAAGTTTCTTCATAGTTATCAGCTGCAGGAGAAATTGTAGCTACCATCACAGTTTTACTATTACCACCTAGATTATCTTTCAGCAACCAAGTGAGTACAGAGTCTCGGTATGGAACAAATTTATCCCGGTTTTTGCTATTACTTCCACCACAAGATTGATCTGCTAATTTTGATATGACTAATCCAAGCGTAGTGAGTGATCTGTAATAAAAATGTTATATATATATATATATATATATATATATTTTGTAGGGTTTCGAACAAGAATCCAAAAATAATACAAAATAAAAAAACAAGAAAAGTTTTTAATAAACAATTTCTTTATTTAATTATTTGTTTACTGTCGACGTTTCGGAACTAGGTACGTTCCATCTTCAGGACATCTGTCAAGAAACATGATCTTGATGAGATTTTAGCAAACAATATGTTTAGGAAAAGAAAATAGATTTTTCTTAAATAGTAAATTAATTGCAAAAAAAACGTTGGCACACAATTTGTAACTTTACTGACTTTCCGAAAACAGTCTTCACTCATATTATCAACACTATTTTAAATTACTCCTATTTCCATTGCCAAGACAACTTTTATTCTCAAATTAAAGGCGCAGCTATGGGATGTCCATTATCTCCAGGAATTATCGACTTAGTTTTACAAACACTAGAAATTTCCGTTTTCTCAACTTTAAAATTTCAAATTAACTTTTATATTAGATATGTAGATGACACTTTTTTTATCATTAACAAAAATCATATAAACACAGTACTAGATCTCTTCAATAACTTTAACAATAATATAATTTTCACACATGAACTACAAAATAACAACAGGCTTAATTTCTTAGATGTATCCGTTTACAACACTAATAACTTTGTTCAAACAAATTGGTATAGAAAAACTACATGGTCGGGTAGATACTTACACTATTCCTCATACTGTCCCAGAAACTATAAGATAAACACTATTATTTCCCTTACAGACCATGCTATTTTGTTGTCTCACCAAACTTTCCATCCACAAAATTTATCCCTAGTAAAAATAACTCTAATTGAAAATGGTTACCCAAAAAATCTCATTCATTCAGTTATTCAAAAAAGACGAACTTTTTTAAAAACACAAATTAATTCTCCCAATACCAGTACCAACATCAAAAACACCAATCTTATTTACTGCAGCATACCATACGTTGAAGATTTATATTATTATTTTGCCAAAATTTTGTTAGAAGAAAACATTTTAGTATCAGGCTCATCCTTACACTCCTTCAACCAATTCTTTACAAACATTAAATCCCCTACCTCATCCAATTTCAATACTAATGTAGTATATTCTGTTTCTTGTAATGACTGTGCTTTTCAATATATTGGACAAACCTCGCAATATGTACACAAGAGAATGAGACAACATGAACTAAGTGTGGTCCACCATAAACAAAAAAATTTCAAAAGTACCCTAGTACAACACTCTATAGAAAACGCCCATTCATTTAATTTCACTCCAAAGATTTTATATCATGAAAGTTGCATCTTTAGGAGATTATTCGCGGAGAGTTGTCTTATTCTCATGAATGTTTCTAACAGTGTCAACATTAGATCAGATCACAACCTATTACATGATTCATATTTAAATTTTTTACACTTTTTGACAAACAATTAATATCGACTTCCCTTTAAGTTCAATTATTTAAGTATTTACACCCTAACATGAAAAAAACACACACATACAATCTCACAGCTCTCGTTCAAGTGTTTACACGTGTTACAAATGACACACCAAATTCAATTTAGTTAATTTTCAAAAGCCAATCGCACAACATCTAGAGAACAATATTATTTGTGTTTTCAAATAATAATTTTTAATAAAAAAAGACAAATCTTTTAGTAATTTTGATTTACAAAATCTAATTATTCGGCGGAAAATTAACTCACAAATTCAATTTTTGTTAAAAAGCTTGTTTAGTGAAAAAGTGCTAACATATATTCAAACATACAGGTAATTAATTCAACTTTGTCATTAACCTTTTCTTAAAAAAATTTTCCATAACTTTCAAAAAATTTTCTATTATGTTTAATATCCTGTTCTGATAATCCACTCATTTATTTTTATCATTTTTATTATTTTCATTTTGTTCATATTATCATATTTCTGTACATTATTATGTTTTTTTGCAATTAATTTACTATTTAAGAAAAATCTATTTTCTTTTCCTAAACATATTGTTTGCTAAAATCTCATCAAGATCATGTTTCTTGACAGATGTCCTGAAGATGGAACGTACCTAGTTCCGAAACGTTGACAGTAAACAAATAATTAAATAAAGAAATTGTTTATTAAAAACTTTTCTTGTTTTTTTATTTTGTATTATTTTTGGATTCTTGTTCGAAACCCTACAAAATATACACAAATCCAAGACTCTACCATTCAATATATATATATATATATATATATATATATATATATATATATATATATATATATTAACAAAGTCTAATAATCGGGCATAACATCAATAAAAAACATGAAGTTCTTTCAAAAATTTATTTTCAATCCATACGTTTCGGCTATAATCCTAGCCTTCATTCAGTGGAAAAATTAGTTGATCTTAGTGTTAAATTGGAAAATTTTAATAATTCTAAATCCTAAGATGTCTAACCAGACATCGAATATGAACCAAGACAGCGATATGAACATATATGTATATTGAAATATATTGTTATTATCGTTATATCGTTAGAAAAGCACGCTTTTATTGTTTTGTAAGAAATTTGGAAATGTTATCTAAATAGAAGAGATTTGTGTCGCACAGCGTGTTAAGTTCTCTTCCATTTAGATAACATTTCCAAATTTCTTACAAAACAATAAAAGCGTTCGCGCAAAGGATTCACAATTCGTTCCACACATGTGTAGAATCTTGGTAAAAATATTTTTTAAAAAATGTCTTTCTCCATTACATCTTCAACCAGTCTACGAATAACACACTATCCATTTGTGATTTTTTCAAATCAGTATTTTGTGAAAATATTGTGTAATTTCAAGTTAATGTTTATAATACATAGTGTAGTGCATTATCATATCCTAATACCATGGATTATTAAAATTTTCCAATTTAACACTAAGATCAACTAATTTTTCCACTGAATGAAGGCTAGGATTATAGCCGAAACGTATGGATTTAAAATAAATTTTTGAAAGAAATTCATGTTTTTTATTGATGTTATGCCCGATTATTAGACTTTGTTAATACATATGTCAACATCAAATTCAGAATCATACAAAAATATATATATATATATATATATATATATATATATTCATATATATCAAAAACTTCTTGATTCAAATCATTCAAATTAAAAAAAACCTGATTCGAATCAAGATTCAAACCAACTTGAATTAAGCTTGTATATGGACAAAAAGGCCAAAAAGCCCTGTTGATGTATTTATTTAGTAAATGTGATATAATGACCAATATACTCAATAAATTAAAGATTTTAAACATAAATTACTATCAAAAATACTACGGTTAAAATATATTTTCAAATTAATTCACAATAAAAGATAATCAAACTCTCTGAATATATTAAATAATATAGGGTTTTTTAAACCCTTATTTGTCATTAAAATCAAAATTAAGTATTAATATTTCACAACTCGATCTCAGCGCTCTGTCAAACCCAAAAACGTTTTATTATATCACTGCAGCTGTATAGCTTGCATGAGTCGCTTGAATTCAATTTATGCAGTAAACTCGAATGATTCGATTGGACTCGAATATAGACGATAATATAGCGTAGGTACTAAAAACTGTGAAATTTCTACTATTTGCTATACTATCAGGCGTTTTGCACATGAAACCGTATGTTATAAATGCGCATCACAAAGATGCAGTTATTATAGCATTCTTTCAAGATTTGTTTATATGTAAAATACGCCTGATCGCACAGCAAATAGATAGCATTTTCACAGTTTTTAGTACTTAAAAAGAAGAATAAGTTAGCGTTGCCATAACAACTCTGTGATATTGTCTATATTGCCACAAAATTAACTCCTTGATTTTTTTAAATGTTTATATTTATGTTTATTACTTCTTTTTTAATTTATCAAAATTTATATTCATGTTACATATTGAAATCAAGTAAAATTTAATATCAATATGGATATAGCAAATAATGCAGTTTAACTAACAAGTTAGAATACAAGCAAAATAATTAACAACTTACTTATTAATGTTACTGCCTTCTTTCAATCTGTCGCCTACAGCGCCTGTTTTAACGGCACGTTCACTGCCAGCTAAATCAACTAAGCTCATCCTGGATACCTTTTCGCCGCTGACCCCAGACGCAGTATCGGTAAGCGTCTGTGTCAAAACCACAGAAAATACAGCATGAGAACGAGACGACTCACTGTTCATGTTGGTAGCGGCTACTGTTCGAGATTTGTTGCCTTCTGTCATCAAGTTATTGATATCCTAAAAAAATATCAGCTATAAAATATCATTTCGAATCCATGTATTCCGATTTTGAATTTAAAGAAAAATAGAATTATTTTTCGAATAACTATTTAAATATCAGCCGGATTCCACACTTTTGAACAACATTTTATCTTTTGAAAAAATACTATAAATATTCATAGTATCAAATAGTGAAAACAGTTGTAATAACAACACCTGTTGCTTCCAGTCTATATTTTTTATCATATAAATATTTATTTCTAACTAGCTGTACCTGATCACACGTTGCTGTGTTAAACATATAAATAAAAATCTTAACAAAAATCCGGTTCTGTTACATCTAATTGTTAAGATGAAAAATAGCGCCCGTATCTTTCGTGATTGTTTGTTGTGTTGACCTATATTAGAGGCGTCACTGAGAAAATATCCTATTAAGCATCGCAATATATCAGCTTATAAGAACCCAGTAAACACTACTGTTGCCGTAATGTAACTTTTTATGTTACAAAGCTTTATAACAAATGTTAACTAAGTGTAATATACGCGCAATATATATTGGAAGTTACAAAGTTATATACAATTGTTACCTAATGTAATAAATGTGCAACGTTTTGTTAGATTTTTTTCCACAATTTTATATTTGAATGAGAATTCGATTGGTCTAATTTTTAACTTTCCGTAGTATCAGGTACATTGCCGTAAGTTACCGCAACTTAATATAACACATTACTTAACAGAGTAGGAAATAGTAATCTCCTGGTAACAGAATTTGTTAGGGATGGTGAGGTTGCCGTTATATAACTAGGTAACATTTTTATATAACCGCAACCTAACGGCAATATAAAATTGTTCACTGGGAATATAAGCATCAAAATTAATATTGTTACATTTTTATCGTCAATGTTACGATGCACATAAATACTGTAATTATTGTTAAATTTACCTCAAACGACGTGACAGCTAGTTGTGAGAGACCATCAACATAGGGTCCCATCACATTGTGCTCTCTGACCTTTAATGATTGTTTATTCGTCTGAGGATCTAGTAGATCGTGCACCTACAACAATAACAAGTAATTGATCTTTTATATATATATATATATATATATATATATATATATATATATATATATTGGCTGTTGATATATATTTTGATGAGTTATGTTGATTCAGGCAGTAACACCAAGTGAAAAAAACTAAAGCAGTTGTAAAAAAGCTTTATCTAACCATATGATTCGGCTTCGTCGAGACCGTCATTAAGTGGAACAGCCAAAAGATATATATCGATGATATTCAACAAATGGCTTTTAGTATTTATTTCATTTAATTATAATTAATTATAACAATAATAAGCATTCATAATGCAATAAATGTCATAACATACAATAGAAATCAAACATTTTATAACAAAACTAGCATACAACAGTTTCTATTTTCTGATAAATAAATAATAATGATGATGGTATATATATATAACTAATTCATTATAATAATATTATATTAATATTAATTTTCCTAAATTGATTTTTTTTATTTGACTCTTGCGTATGTATTATAAGATTATTATTATTTTTATTTTTTTTTCATAGCAAACTATACAAAGTACATTCAGCTATATATTGTTACAAGTATATATTATTTGACTGCGTGAGAAGGAAAGTCTTTCAATAAACATACAAAGCCAGGCACACATATAACTCAAAGCATTAGCATTTTTTTACTTCTGTAGTAAATATATATCGTCAACTTTTTCTCAAGAACAACTGCACCGAACTGATTTCAAAAATTCAAAGACTTTATGATTCTAAAAGAGATTGCATTATAAAAAAGTTAAAACACCCCGGACATTATAAGTCTAAAAGTGGATAGGTATAAATATTTATTAAAATATAGAATAATGGACCGTTGCAAAACTTCAAATTCTATAGTGACAATTTTAAAAGTGGCTAAACATTAATTCTTATTACTTAAATCAATTATTTACTCATATCGGAAAGTTTAAGTAACTAGCTTTAAGCCAAATATCACATCTAGTTTTCATTTTGAATCTTTAAAAACGGGACATTCGACAACCTTGATAAGTCGAATTAATTATATATAGTAGAGAATCCTTATTTGTATTTTCTTTATTCGCTAAAAAAGGACGATCAAATTCTTATATTGACGGCTAAATTTTTTTTATTCACATACATAGTAACGAAAGGGTTTCAATAGGTATCCAACCCATTTGAATTCCAATAAGTATCCTTTGCAAATAGACTAATGAAAAAGTGAAATAGATCTTATTACAATTTTGCCTAAATGTTGTTAAATGATATCGCCGAGGACTATGACATAGGCTGACTTTGCTGCGATCGCTGTTTTTCAGAATGGCTTCAAATCGAACAGATAGAATCGTGTGACATTATGGAATTGCTTGAAAAGCAAGATGTCGAAACCGAAATGATTTTTTTTTAAATAAGTTAAATTGACTACCTCGAGAAAAAGGTGCTTTAAGGCACCGAGAACGTGACATTTATTAAATAAAAAATTTTAATTATGGTTTAAAAGCAGCAAATAAGTTTTGCGCTTTCTGTATGAGCAAATTGCTAATGCGCTTGCTGCGTACAAGTCTCAACTGAAGAAGTTTAACAAATTGCCTAGCAAAAATTACAAAATTTACCATAAAATAATTAGGATATACAAAAACTGAGTCTAATAAGGAATATGACGTATTTTTCAACAAATTTAATAATGATAGGTCATTTTTAATAGATAAGTACAGTTTGTGTACACTCGCTAAGCAAGTTATTAAAGGCGTATTTTTTTCATACAAACGGTAAAGAAAGAAACAATAGCCACTGATAATTTAAAATATTCTTACATAAAATTTATAGTAAAAATACATCTGTGATTTTAAATTTATATTGAACATTTTGGTTGATTTAGCACTCTCGCATATGATCGAATTTAACTTTACGTTTGTGAATTATCATGTTTCCGCTCTGGTATAATATGCTTTATGATGTAATTTAAAGAAACTGCACTTTAAAACATGAAATGCTATTAGCACATCGATATATAATATAGTAGTTTCCAATATGGTCTAAATAATAAAAATATATGCTTTGATTTAGAAAGTGCGAGATGATTCAGACTCTGAGTTCATGCTAGTATTGATACTTTGTCTCACTTGTTGCACTCGCATAATGAAATACACGTATGAAAATTTCAAAGCAATTCAGCATAATATTATACCAAATACATGTTAGATATTTGAAACCCGTTAATTGTGGTTATTACTTATTCGTCAATCACAATATATAATAAAACTGATATAATAAATTATAATGTGTAAATAAAATAAATTCACAAGTGTTAAAATTTCTCCTAATTTATTTAGATTATGATTATCAACAATAAAAATTAAATTTATTGAAGACTCATTCTAACCTTCTCGTTGTATATTTCCATATAAGACACTTCAACTTTATAGGATAGTTCTGGAGTTTGTTGTGCAGCAATAATTGCAAACAATGTATCGCAAAGCTTAGGTATTATTCCTTTGCAATCTTGACCGCCCATCATTGTATAGGACTTTCCCGACCCTGAAAAACAGTCGTATGAATTATTAATTATAGTACAAAATACTTATTTCGAATAGCAATTGAGAGATAAAATTAATCATTCCAGGTCTTTAAAAAATATCTGTACTTACTAATATTTAAAATTGTATATGCGTGATAAAAGGGTATAATAGTAAAAGCACATTTTAAAAAATCGTACTGCAATTGATAATATATTATCAATTATCAGTTTCTATAATAAAAATATACGATTTAAGGAAAGTATGGCAATAGAATAATTAACATAAACTTGATCTTTATCTGCTTCAGAACATAAAGCACTTTGATAAATTTATAGGCTGAATTTATAAAATATAATAAGTTTGAACAAAATTCGAAATTTTTTGCTCTTATTACTTCATTTCAATTTTATCCATATTATCAGGTAAGGTAATTCATACAAAAAACTTTATAATTTTATTATAAGTACATATATGATAAAAACACATTTTTAGTCGACAAACAATAGTTTTCTGTGCGTAACCCCAAAAAGCGTTCTCGATTTTGGCAATAATAAATGTATGTTTGCACTGTCAAAACAAATTAATATTTTTTAAGCAATTGTCCCGAAAACTTACCTTAAAAAAAACCCTTTTTCTACTCGGATGCCGCCGGCGGCAAAATACGTTAATTCTGAAATTCGCGAGTGGAAAGGGTTAATATAAATTTTGAATAAATATCGTACCCGTCTGTCCGTAGGCGAAAATGCATGCATTGTATCCTTGGAAGGCATTGTCCAGAATGTCGCGTCCGAGACAGTCGAATACATGGTCTTGTGACGCAAAGTTGGGCGCCGACGGATCCAAAGAAGCAAAACAGTGGTCGAAAGCAAACGTCTTTGGTTGTTTCCTGGTAATAAAAGTCAAATTAACAAATCATTAAAAACTTAAAATAAATCTTACTTCTGTTTAACATTATTAAAAAAATAATAGTAGCTTCAAAACTTAACTTCTGGAAATGACATATAATGAACGATGATACTAGAAACTAACAAATTAATCATATTTGCGGCATGTTCAGACACAAGGTACAGTTTATATTTGTATAAAAAAATATTTATTTGATCATCATTTGGTAAACCGATATTGAAGCAAAAACACCTGATGACTCTAAAAAACAACGAACAAAACATTGAAATTTAATTATCTAACTTGTAATTTTTCGAATTGATTCTCCAGACGCTTTTATAGTGACGGTTAATCTGTTTAATAATCCTGCGACGATTCATGTAATCAAAATTTAGAAGAAATATGATACCAAATACGATAACACCATACGACAACAAACTACAATTTCACAGAAATACAATTATCCGAATGCTTTCCGCAAAAAAAACGATAACGGCATCTTAAGAAATGTAAATATGTTCAGATGAGATAGGGTCCAGAGTGAAAAAGATAAAATATGTTTGCTTGAAGTTTCCACTATTGCATTTAGTCAGCACTCTACATTAAGATGATCTGTAGACCGCATTGCTTAGAGTCAAAAATAAGATATAGATAGATATCTTTCTTTGTTATTTTGCTGTAAGTTGAAGATTAGTAATTAATTACCGGCAATTAGTTTCGTTTTATGTGACATACACATATGTTGTGACATGTATTTCTTGTCCTTTTTGGGTGAAATTTAAACAGATGAAGAAAATCTAATTTAACTAACAAAAAGAAAATTTAATACAAGAAAACAAAAATATTCACAAATATTTCTGGTTTAAAACATATGTTTTGTTACATATTATATTGATAAGCTTTGTTTTGACAATAAAAGACGTTATGAACCATTGTGGTAATTATAGCTATTGTTTTTTAAACTTTTTTATGTCTGTCACAACCGTACTGGGGGTGTCGACAGTTGTGCCACTCGCTGTTTTCTGGTATGATTTAATTTTATGACTCGTGTTTAGGGACAGTATTTCAGTAGTTCCACGTAGAAAAATATTCAAATTACCATTAAATTTACTTTTCTTGCAGCTAACAGGTAAATTAACAAAATTATTGGTAACCCAGTCTCTCCTATCACACTTGGTAGATTCAATTAAAAATGTCCGTTATTAAAATCTACAACAAATATTTTAGCACATTCTACCCGGAGCGAGCCTCCCGTCCGCGAGCATTGTTAATCATTTGGTGACCTCTGTTCTACAAACGATTATTATTTCATAAATATTTTTTTATAATTTTATGATTAAATTTTTAAATTAAAGATAATTTGCTGATACTTGCAAATATAATGAAGTAAATTATAACTGATAATAACAAAATACAATTCACAAGCACGCGGATTATACAGAAACAGGGACATGTAAAAAATACGTCGGATAGAACGTGTTACGTTTTCGCAATTATTAGAGTAGACTTGCCTGCTACTATAGGGGCAAAGCACATGTCAAATTCACTACGGTTCAATAAAGCGTTGCTCAATCTCATTCAATTAATTATTATATCGGAGACAACGTGCTTTGTAAAAGTTATGTAACAAAATAATAAGTAACTTTTGTCAGTAAAATGCTTTTCAGATAATGACAATTTCTGCATTTTAATATAATGCCTTAATTATTAATATTTTAATATAATCTCTCGAAACGTTGGGATAGATTAAGATTCTTCCTCAAGAGAATAGATATTGTTCTTCTACGAATGGGATGATAATTCAATTAATAATTTGGTCAATTGATGTTTTATATGCATAAGCAAGAATCATTATTGATAACCTATGTCAGAAAATATCGCATTATCCTTGTAGGTACTTATTAGCTATTTAACTAAGGATTTCCACCTTGTGTCCCGTGTTTTTCTATACGCAAAATTTGTCCCGAATTTGAATCTTTTGTCCCGGATTGTCCCGGAATATCGAGAAATGTAGGTTTAAATTGAATCTTTGAAATTACTTGGTAATAAAATTACGAGAGAACGAGTATGCTTATATGAAATAATAGGTTATGAACAAGATGCAAAATACAGAATTCCAAAGGCGGATTAAAATATCATCTCACATTAAGAAATTCGAACTTTTATTCTCAATTTTACGAAAATTAATAAAAATTATGAAAACGAACGAAGAAGTGCTATTTTTTTAAGTTATTTATGAAGAAAATTGTACAGAAATTATTCAAGGCTGAAAAGGGAAAAACCTATAGATTGAAGAATATGAGATATAACATCACAGGTAAAATATACAACCGAATATAAGAAGAATATATAACCAAATATAAGGTTCTTACTAAAGGCCCGTTGTCCTGATTAAAAACTTGATTCATTAAAAAAAACGTTTTGTGTACTTTAATAGAATATGTTATTTTAAAATCAAATTCAAGTTTAATTCAAAACACCCCCCCCCCCCTTGGTCCCGTCGCGGGTTAGTATAACAAAAAATTGCCATCTCGGTTTTGACTTAAAAAAATTTGGTCACCTTATATTTAACACCTTGTCTATCAAATAAAAGATAAGTCTAACAAAATATATCTAGAACATAGAGGCCGTGATTTAATACCAATACACATTTTATACAAATAGATTATATCTTTTTGCCTAAATACACAATAAAACATATAGTAGTACAATTCAAAGATGAAATGTCATACCTGTCTATTTTGTCGAGTGCCGACGGGTGATGCAAGATTGTCTGCCGCTCTTCTACAGTTACAACACATTGCGTCCCAAGTTCTAATTCTGAAATATTACACCCAACATTAGAAAATTATTCCTAAATATATCTGGATATATGATAAACAACTTTGAACAGAAATGTAGTTTTCACTTATAAACTCAATAAAATGTTAATAACACAGGTCCATAAAATAATTGTCTAATATAGTATTTACTGCTGAACATGAATCTAAGTTAAAACTACGGGTCAAATAAAAAAAAAGAAAAATAAACAAAACAATAAAATCGTCATTCATTGAAATCTTATAATTTCTATCGTTTCCTGGCCCTTTTTACCTCAAATCTAATACTATCTATTCTTAATTATATGACCCAGTCTCGGGTTGATGTCAAGGTGTGAGACACCCTGAATATATATCTATATACACATACATATATCGACATTTGTCTGTTTAACTTGAAAGCATATTCGAGACACTTACTTTGTGTACAAAACGTGCAGAATAGATTTTTTTTTATTATAATTTTTTTTGCGATTTAGCTGCAATTATTTTGTAAATATATATATATATATATATATATATATATATATATATATATATATGTGTGTGTGTGATTTAGTTGTTAATTTTGATGTTGAGATATATGAGTAAGTTCGTAAGTTGTATAAATGTTAGTGCTAATTTCTAGTGTTGTGTACACTTCTCTAAATGTAACCTTCCAACGTAATATCCACTGATGATGACATTAAATTGAATGTCGAAACGTTTGGAATTAAAGATTAATTTATAAATCTTTGCTTTTTATTCTTTGATGTATCGCCCCACAAGAACTTACTCATATATATATATATATATATATATATATATATATATATATATATATATATTTCAAAGTAACTAGCAGCCCATTCGTCGTTTACGTATATATATGTATATATATATACGTATACATAAATATACGTACGAGGGTGGTTTGAAAAGTTTTCGACCTCAACACGAAAATGACGCCACTCGTCAATAAACGCTAGTTGTTAACTTTTAACAGTTACTCACCAAAATTTCGTCCATTTTGAACGCGCAGTTTTCAATTGGCAGCTGTTTGAGCAAGTACAAGTGTTTGTGAAAATGGAGAAAATTTAGTGTCAAGCTGTTATTAAACATTTGTTTTTGAAGGTAATACGCCTAAGCAAATTAAAAATGAGTTGAACTCTGAGCGTGGGGACTCTATAGTTCTACATGATCATTTACCACGGTGAAATTTAAGGAGCTCACAATGAGTTCAAACGTGGCCGTAAGAGCTTGGGAGACGATGATCGTTTGGGACGACCAAAAACTTACATTTCTGACGACAACATTACTAAAGTTTACGAAATGATGTTAGACGACCGCCAAATCAGAGTGAGATGGATAAAAGAAGTTATGAATATGTTAAAAAAAATTTGTTTGACACATATTAAAAAAAGAGTCATACAAGAGAAAGCCGTCCGGCCGATGCGTGCCGCGTTTGCTCTCGGTAGATCAAAAACATGTTCAAATCACCATTTCCAGCACACTTTAGACGTAATAAATCTGAGTTTTGGCGCTGATTAGTTACTGTAGATAAAACTTGTATACATCATTATACGCCCGAAACAAAATCAAGAAACTGGTCCAAGAAGAACAAAAACCGATAACCCAAAAACTGTTTTTTGGGATAGTCGTGAAGCTATTTTAATCGATTATCTTCAAAAAGAAAAAGACATTACATGAACATGCTACGTTTCATTACATGACGGTAAAAAGGCACAAATCGCGGAAAAGGGCCAACTTTTAGAGAAGGGATTAAACCATAGTGCACAATTTTTGCAAAGAAAATTGCCATGTACTATTTGAATGGGTTACAGAGATGAGAGCATCGCTAGACATTATAAGGAGACTAGGTAGAAATATAAATAAATAAAATAAGAAAAAAAATCTTGTATCATTGTGAGGTCGGTAACTTTTCAACCCACTCTCGTATATGATAATTATATATAAATGACTTAAATTGTAACTATTGAATTTTAATAAATTTTTATTCTATATACATACATGGATATATGGCATCATGCATTGATAGAACTTCAAATATGTACAACTAAAAAAACATACAAAACAAAGTTGAATTTTTTGTTCTGTTTCTTTCATAAATATACGTAATATATTTATGTATTACAAGTTTGAAAAAAATGTACAAAATAAATCTTACAATATAAATTAAAGGTTTGTATTTTTTTTTTTAAAAAATGCGTTATGAGAACTCGCGGTCAAATATATACAACAAAACCAAAAGTTTCCAACAAAAAGTAAATTCCTCACAAAAAACTTTCAGAGAAAAGTTAAAATCCTTTGTTTTAAGAAGAAGAGAAGTTAGAAAATGTTCAATATTAGTACGGAAATCAAAAAAAAATTGATGTGCATATGTCACATGACCACTAACGACCTTTTACAAAATAAATAGCCCATTCACGGTTAGTACGAATTAACGCTTTTTGAATTAGTCAAAACCCACATTGATGTCGTGGTCTAAATAATTGTATGTCAAACACACTACACACACATCAATTTTTTTATGTATGCAAAAACGATCAGAAGGTCTCATAAAGTAGAGATACACAGACGATGGAGATCGCTTCTTTAGAACTAAAGCTTTCTAGCTTTTTGAGCTTTATATCTTTATTTTGATAGTTTACATTCTACATTGGAATCTACTACGGTGTCTGTAGATAACGAAATATTACTAGATGAACCTAGGCTAGTGGTGCATGGCATCGTGCCTTGAGGCAAATTGCTAGGACTTTCCGTACTATAATTTAAAAACTTGAACTTTTTTAACCTTTCGATTTTTTACCATTTTGAAATTTTTTGAGAAACGCAATTCTGCGGTTGACCATTCTATTTCTGATGATGAGATTATTATTAAGTTTTTTCTTATATACATTCGCATATATAAGGTTGTTCGGAAAGCCACTTCACTTTTTTACCACTGAGGATTAAATTGTAATTTATTGAACCTGGCATCTCACTCAAGCTCTATAATTATTACATGGTTTGAAATTTCTAATCAATTATACACAGTGATTTTTGAATAGTGCCACTTTAAAAACGGAAAAAATAAGCAGGATTTTCGACATTTTTTTTTAAATTTATTTTTACATATATTATTATCATATCTCGGACAGGGGTGTCTGGCATGTGAGATTATGAATCAATTTTCATTATTTATATATACATATAATTTGTCTATTTCAATATACAATAATATAATATTTATTATATTTAAAATATCTTTAAATATCTGTTCAATATTCAATTTCTTTATAATATTTCTTTATTTTCCTTTTGAAATTATTGTCGTCATTGGTATTCTTAATATCGATTGGCAGTTCATTAAATATTTTCCTTGCGCTCCATATCACATATCCTCTTAAGTTTTTTTTTCTATTATGTTCAATATAAAAATTTTCGTATTGTCTAGTGTAGTGTTCGTGTATATCTTGATTTATGTCTATTGTACTTGTTTTAACCCTCCGTCGGTCGGATACTTTTTCACCTTCGAACGGTCGGAAAGGTCTGGCTGGACCACCATTCATTTTACATGCATTTATATGGGATAAATGAGTTTTTGGTGTCTTATATATTAACGATTATATAAAAAAAATCAACAAATATAAAAAAATCATTACTTTTTTTTGTTAATTTTTCTGTTTTAAATCAATGAAAAATAATTTTCGGCGCCTTTGAAATGAATGTGAAATTCAAATGAAAACAAAATGAGGTGCGTCGCATTTGAAATGAGCTGTAAAACTCAAAGTGAAAATATAATTTCACTACAGGTTTGCCAAAAAAATTTCGAACGCAGTACGGGTAGAAAAATTGTTGATAATGTGCATTATTCATCCGATTTTCAGTGTTTGCGATTACCAATAAGTTTGGTAGGTTTTCAAGGAACTCTCGTCATGAAAATACTAACATTCATGTTAGAACACATAGCACAGAATATAAACAACGCAGTTTGAATAGAAAATACCACGAAAAAAGACAAAATACTGGTTTACATATATCAAAAAGCGTATATTTCATACAAAATGTATGGGTGGTCTAGACAGACCTTTCCGACCGTTCGAAGTATAAAAAAGTTAATATCCTTATAATTATCCTTCTGTACATTTTTTCGTCCTGATTTTTTCATTGATCGTCAGCTAATGAAATTTTAGGAAAAGTCAAGAAATTTCAAGTCGATAGGATTACTAGAAGTATTTTTTTTTTAATTGAAGTCGAAAAAAGTCTGGCCAGACCACGCCGACCGACGGAGGGTTAATTATGTTATATTTCATTTTGTGTATCAATTTACGTTTCTCTATTTTAATTATGTTGTTTAGTGAATGAATATTAGTTTCTGTTTGTAAGTATTTGGTGGGTGTTCAGTGCGGAAAATTATATGATATTTTTATGGCTTTGTTTGCTATTCTCTGTATATCATTTAAGTTAGCTTTAGTTGTTTGACTCCAAGTATTTATTCCATATAAAATTATGCGCTTTAAAAATCAGTATCTTATTTTTTTCCCGAAAGAGCGGATCCTTTTCACAGTTATTCCTTTTGAAAAGGTAAAAATAATGTTCAAGCCAAAATGAAATTGACCGATGTGTATGGAAAAGACACGTTGATAGTACGACAGTGTCAACCTGTCAACTATAAACTGAACTGGTTTGTTAAATTTTGTTTTGATGTCGAAGATCCACCACGTTCAAAAAGAATAGTTGATGCAAACCGGCGAATAACAACACGTGACATCCCATTGTGTTTAAATTTATCAAATTCAACAGTTCATGACCACTTAAAGGGTCTGGGATTTCGCTCGAAGCTCAATGTATGGTTCTCATAGAGAGAAAAAAACTGTGTCGTCGCATTGACGCCTGTGATTCGCCTCTGAAATGTCATGAAAATGATCAGTTTTTTTAAGCAAATTGTCACTAGGAATGTAAAACGGGTTGTGTAGAATACGAAATATGCAATTGCTCGTGGAACGAAAAAGATGAACC